TCTATTAAGGGCCGTGTAACCTTTCAGTATATAGAAATATGGAAATTAAAAAACCGTCAATTAAGACGCAGTCGTGAAATGCCTCCTGTCGTCTATCAAATGCTGTTATCGTCACTATAAATCACAAAATAGCAGTCAAGCCAACTCATATCTGTACATCAAACAGTCTGAGATTTCACACCGAAGGGTTATTTTTCACTCTCTTGTTTTGCTATTGCTGAATTTATCACATAGTATCTACTGAAGATGAATAACTTTGCATTCGCATTATGAAAAAAATGACGGTTCGTGGTGGGATTTAATTTTTAATTTAATGTCCGGTTTTGGCATATCCTTGAATGTCTTTGTCTTGAAGACGTTTACGGATCAGTGTGAGATTTGCTCATTGCTCCAGGTTGTCGTGTGTTCCCAGAGGCATTTCCAGGGCTGGTGGGCCGGTGGGGGTCAAAGCCTCAGGGTGTGTTTTTTTTTTTCTTTGCCATGTTGTCTGGCCTCTGAGGCCGCTGAGAGCGCAGTGTGATGGGCGGCGAAGCCTGCCGTAACACAACAAGATATTGATTGAATAATCTCTGTGTCATCTGATAGTAATGTGGCTTACACAGACCCCCTGCTGCAAGACACACAGCTTTCAGCACTCCCTGGGAAAAGGGAAAAGGGACAACAGTGTGTCGGTTTTGTGTGTATTTGTGTGTCAATGTAGGAGTAGTTTTTGCATTGTTGAGTTGCTTTTTAAGTTTTTAATTTCCTCAGTGCAGCCCTTTAAATTCATATGAAATATATAACATTGGGATTAGACCCATTACATCTGCCTAATATTATGGCACATAGTGCTCTTCCTTTTACCATCTGGACATATACACATTTATATGTGTATATGTCTTTTTTGATGGACGGGGGTTTTACTAACAAAGTAGTTTCTTTTTGTGTTGCTACTATTTTCAACGTTGCTTCCCCTCTCGCTGCGGACTGCCAGTCATGACAAATCCTAGTTTGTTGCTTCACTGGGGACGGCAGGCCTCTGATTCCTTGGTGACTGTTACAATAATCCTGGTTTAAGGGAAGGCAATAAAATGTCCCTATTTTCTGGGTATCAACTGAAATGTGTATTTAGCACCAAATATAGGCCTGAAAATTGAATAACTGACAAAAACCAACCCTGGCCGTCATAGACCACAATTACATTTGTATCCAATAGTAACACTTATACATTAAATTAAGCAGTTTTTGTCAACTAACCACCTAAATACAATATGTAACTCTTTAAAAAAAATAAACATAAGCTAACTATGTTATGATTTAGTGACCTCCTGATATAATGTGTTCAATTTGTTTCCATTCTGCCATTATTGCATGAATACCATTTTAGTTTGAGTACTCATAGCGTTGTTGGCTTAGCTGGGCTATGCCATGTGAAAACATACAATAATTCCAGCCTGTGTGTTGTATTTTGACACATTTCAATTATAAGTTCATTGTAAAACTTTCCACAAAGCTGTGAATCCTATCATTTGAAGAACGTGAAGTTATTGTCGTTTTTAATGGGGCACGAGTGGGTTGTAGATGCTGTCAGAAATGCTAATGTCACTCAATCATTTGGGATATTAAATGTCCTCTGCAGTCCAGTAGAAACAAGAAAAGGAAAGATTTTAGGTGAAGGCTATGTGTGTGGTTGTGCAATAGCAGCAGCCCCACCTCTTTCTTCCCCGCATCTATCCCCCTTTCTCCCTCTCTCCTCTCCTGCCTCCCTCACTAACCCTCCTTCTGATCCGAGAGGAAAGCTTTCATTATTTGCTGAGATTGGGATGTCAATCCCTGCGCCCCTGACCCAAGTTTGTAGTTCTCCCCCGTCATATTGGAGGAATGATTAGTGGGGTTATCTCCCCTCCACTCCACGAAGCTTTCATTCCTCCTCACGGCCCCGTACCTCCAGGCAAGGATTTCTAAAACTCTCTCCCCCTTTACATGGCTGATACTTCATCATCATCTCTGTGCATTGCTGAGTCACATTCATTTAAACGCCACACTCTTATTTCTTATTTTCAGCTATTGAGCCATAGCAATGTTGGTGAGGTGAATAAAGCTGGGTGAATATTTTATTTGTATTTTATATTTATTTGGAAAATACTTTCAGGTTCAGTACACACCATTTGCCCTACTTTTCCCTTCTACTTTAAATACAGCAAACATAAGTGCATCCAACTGTATCTTATATTTACTTTTTTAACGTATAGACTGAAGGATCCTATTTGAAACAGACTGCCATATTTCAAAAAGTCAAAGTCAAACACGTTTGTTTGGAGCATTACACAGGAGGGTATGTGTGTAATAAGACGGTTTTGCTCTGTTTTTAAAACACTTCTCTGTGCTATGATGCCTTCAAAGGTTATTTCAATATGTCCTAAATACATGTAGGATATAGAGGCCTGTATATGCATCTGGGAATAAATTGATGTAATTTCTTCTTTGACTAACAGCTGATATAATAGCCCATATAAAGGCACATTCCGCTTATGGGCATGAAACTGTAAAATTAGTTCCTTTCGTTTATGGCTAGGAAGAACTGCAAAATAGGCCATGCGTTTCTTGAACATTTTAATTGATCTATTTTTCATTTCCCCCCGCGGATTTTTTAAGCAAAACGTTGCCAGTGCATTGAAACAATAAGCTGCAGATTTGCCTCATTGTTCCACTGGAAGAAATGAAAGCGAATCTAAAAGCTTTCACACCACGAGCACAATGCAAATTACGCTTAGATTCACCCTTAATTTCATCAAAAGGGGTTGTTTTTTGTTTAGTTTTTTCCTTTTGAATTATTATCATTATTAGGAGTCCATGGGATTAAGCAGAGTCACTGATCCTCTGGGCCTAAGCCTTTTTCTTTTTTTGTGTCTGTCGGGAGCTCAACGAGACTCCATCCGCACTTCATTAACCCTGAGCCGGGGACAATCCACGGTAAGAGCCGGGGGATTTACCACCAGCCTTTCACATGCAAAAAAAGAGTCACCCAACAAGACACACGGGGGTTTTTCCTTATATAACAAGCTGCGCACTTTGCAAGAATAACCCCCTTTTCATGAAGAGGGGTCGTCGTTATCTGAATCGGTCACGGATCCTCATGATGGGACTATAATGATCATTTGGCAAGTTGGGAGGTGTTTGATATTTTTTTTTTTTTTTTGTTCCCTCTTCACTTTCCCAGTCCTCGGAACTGTGCTGGGCCCACTGTATTTTGAATGCAATTTTCCGCATCATAAACGCGCCAGTTATCAGGCCGTCAGTCTGATATTTCACGGCGTGGTCAGCCACTAAGTGGAGGCCCCATAACAGGTGCCATGCGTGGATGACAGCAGGGGGAGCCGGCTATCAAAGCCATTATCGACTTTCAATTAAAACCTATTAAAGTCTTTTGTCTAATCGTTAACATCCTACACGCCAAGTCTTGTCCGTCAGCCTGAACTCCTTTAACCCCCAATGCGCCGCGGCCCCGGATAGTCCTCGCAGACTACGAGGGGGAGAGTTGGGTGAAATGTGTATGGTGGAGGGAGGAAAGAGGGGGGTGGAGTTGGAGCCGCTGACCAGCTGTCCCCACGCTGATCCCCGGTCTGCAGTCAGCTCCAGCCCGGTCACCAGCTGTTGGAGCCGTTTGGCACCGGAGCGCACATCCAGCACCCTCAAGGAAAAGAAGGATGGAAACAATCAATTTCAAAATGGGATCATTTAGGGCACTTAAACAATTGCGCACATAACATTAATATTTCATCTCCTGCATTGTTTATGGAAAACGAATAGGAGTTGCTGCTGTTAATTTAGGAAAGTGGGAATGGTGAAGAAGAGTATGGGAGGAGGGGGGGGGGACAGGGGCTCCATTTTGGACAGAACACCCTTCTGCTTTGTTGGCCCTGCTCTAAAGACATTAGCTGGAATTGATCTTTGATTGCACTTTTGAACGTGTGTGTGAGAGAGAAGGAGAAGGATAGGGGATAGTTACTCTTGTGCGTACGAGGCCCTTGTGTGCGCGAGCCTAATGTTTGCTTTACATTTTCAATCAAACTTTTCCCCTTTTTTCTATTTTGCAATTAAACCCGTGTTCATGCATTTATACCTTTTCATTAAAGGACCAATATAAAATATATCATTTTATGTAATTAAAGGAAACATTTTTCCAACTTGAACTTGTGGAATCTTTTTTGGAAATCTCTGCTCTTCTTTTGAAAAGGTTAAGAAAACGGATGTAAAAGTACCTACTACACTACTGGTGACACTCTTATTAACTTTTTTCCCCCCAAACCCTCATCTCAACATTAAACAAATTAAAGGAACGACACTAAACCAAACAGAGGAGGAAAAGTCGTTTGACAGACATGTTCAAAATTCACTCAAACACGATTTCCCCTAATATAACCCCCCCGAGCCCTTAAAATGGTGTTTATTTTCCAGCTGCTTCCAGAAAAGTTGAGATGTTTAATTAAAGCTCCACCAGCCATCTCCTTAACCTTTGCTCATTGACACTGACATGTGTTCGTATCAATTCATAATGAATCATATTTTTAACGGTGGCCAATCAAGCCCCAAAAAACCTCAAACAGGCCTCTATTTTTCTATTTCTGGTTCAAATAAAAACTCGAGGGGATTTGTTGCTACTTCCGATCTAGATAAATAGAGGTGTGTATGTGGCACCAGCCCAAAGTTTTAAAATATCAAATTCCTATTCTTTCCCAAATGATTTCGCTTATAGTTGTAATTGGATTATTCAAACGGTATTTTATGAAGGTTATCCTGAATCGCCTTCCTTTGAGGCTAATGTATATAGGCCTATGTAATGTAATGCAACAAGACACTTCACAAAGTATCACGTTTATCACGGGCATATTGGTTGCATCAAACTATCAGGTGTTGCTGCTGTTTTGTCCTCCTTTTGTCTCGTAAATCCACGTGTTGATTCAATCCGTCAGACAAGCCCCGTGGCATTTTTTCTTTCACATATTCAAGCAGCCACGTCATTAAATGAAAGACTTTTATTTCCACATTTATAAAAGTAATTCTCTTTTACATCAAATCCCCCCCCTTTTTTTCTGTCCAACTGTTGCTGTGAATTTCACAAAAATGAATTTCACCAAATGGGGAGAGAGAGTTCGAGGGGAAAGCTAGAGGAACGAAAGAAATAAAAATAATTTAAAAAAACGATCCAGGAAATATACGAGAACCACTCCACAAGTTTGATATCTGCAATATACATTTTCACCAAAGGAGAGTATAACAATTAAGGGTTATCACGGCTTCATATGAAGTATAACATAAGTAATGCACAACGTCTGTTCAAATACATCTAAATCAACAGGCAGGTGCACCTGGACCCGAGTCCGACCGCTGTATGACGATAGAAAATGAAACATTTCTGACGTGATTGCGTCCCCGTTTCCCCCCTGCAGGGATAAAACTGCTTTTTTATAAATTACTTGACATTTGTACTCCGCTAAATCTTCAACTAAGAACGAGAAAAAGACTTTATATAGATGTATTTCTTTCCGTAGCTCTCGTGTTATGTGGGTCCAGGCATTCTTTCTCAGACAAATAGGTTTTTTCCACTTTTTTTTTAATAGTTTCTGTTGGCTAATCTAGCCTATTAACTGGACTGGTCTGAAATAGAAGCACTGATAGATCCAAAAAAAAAGGAAGGTTTCTTTTAAAATCAGTCTCTTTCGAATAAAATGCAAAATATTCTTATTTACAGGTTTATGACTGCTGATCATCTTCACTTGTAAACAAAGGAAATCAATGACATATTTAGAAAGAAAAAAGAGGAAGTATTTATTAATTGTTCCTTTGGATCCCTCTACATTATATTCATATTACATGGAAGGATGCTTCTTCACACTTTAACTCTCCATAATAATAATTATAATAACAACAATAATAATAATAATGCCAATGGGGGGTCTAATTGGCATTGAACTGTAGGTCAAAGTGTCACCAACAATTCTATCTTTTGGGGAAAAATACTGAAACGTAGTTCAAATAAATACATAACTTAGATGCTTTGATTCTTGAAAAATAAATAAATAATAAATAAAGCTCATTGTCCCAAAATAAATGAATAAAATCCTTCAGTACAGACAGTTAGTCACAAAGCTCCGTCCACAGACTTCTGACCTTTCGCACCATATAAAGGCCTCGAACAGTTTTCCTCTTGTTCGTCGCGTTTTTTATTTTATCTGTCTTTGTTTTATTTCTTCTCTTCTCGAGTCCAAAGCTGCCATTGTTGGCGTACAATAAAAAATCAGCAGTGTCCGGCTCATCGCGGCAGAGGTGGCCGAGAAAGCACACCGGACATAGGGGGGAGAGGGGGTGGCTCGCCGCCCCCCTGCAGGCCGTGCAGCAGGATCCGGGGGACCAGGGGTCTCTGCAGGCCCGGCGGGGGTCCCGAGGGGCCTCTGTACAGGTAGAGGGCTGCTGCGGGGTCCAGGCTAGACACCAGGCTCTGTGGGTAGAAGTACGGGGATGGGAACATCCTCTGCAGGGCGGAGTAGTTTCCTGCTTCCGCGAGAAGCTCTAGTCCCACCGCCGTCTGCCTCTTCCACTTTGTCCTGGAAGAGAGAAAATACAGCCTTCAGCATATGTGTATCGATAAATACTTTTAGTATTACTGACACACACCAAAATACCCCCCATCTGTCAACCTAGGGTCCAATTAAAAGTCAGGAATACATCTGTTTTTTTTCTTCTTTTCAAATCGCCAAAATCTCCAACCTGCCACTTGTATTCACACCCATGTCTGTAAGATGCACTCCACGCAGGTGAATAATTCATAATCAAGATAATTGAGTAGATATAGTGGTTTGTTTGAATTATTGATATGCACACATGCAACAATGCATTATTCATTCTGCGAAGTGTTGTTTTTATATTTATTTATGTCATTTAGCTGCCTCGGAGTCAAAGCTGTAGACAAATAAATGCTCAAGTTAACTCAAGCGAAAACTGCAGAAACAGTTTCTGCATTGGCGAGACGGTTTCTCTTACTCGTGCATGGAGGTTTAGTTATTTACAAAACGTTGACGCCTTGGGTTTCAAACTATTTGCAGGGTCATTGTATGTGACTAAAAATCGAACATAAAACGTAAAAAGGTACTTGATCATTCGAAGGAAACAAGTGACTACCGGTGCGATATTGCACTGTTTCATTTTCTTCTAATGGGAAGCTACAAATACAATTAAAATAACGGTGCCAAAAAAATAAAAAATAATGCACAAGGGCGTCTCCAGACAATTAGTGACACATAAAATCAGATACATTATTCATCTGTAAATCAATAATTGCTCCTGGTATATTCACCAGATGTAGGCCTATGTTGTTTTAGAAAGAGTTAGAGCTAGAACGAATTAAATGGTTAATAACTGGATGAGTTCATTAATAGAACATCTCATCAGAAACTAATATAATCACTAATAAATGGTTAAGAGTTAAAATGCTAAACGAGTATGTTTTGCTATGATAAATGACAATCAAGCAAATGCCAATGTTGGGGGTCTGGAATATTGCAGATTACTCTGTTAATCGGAGAAAAAAAACCTCAGATGAATCAATAATTAAAATTGTTGCAGTGGCTCATGTGCAATTAAGTGAAGTGAACTTATGCCTTCACCTTAGGGTGAAAGGAAAACATGGCGCCCCCGAGTCCATCAGTCATGAGCCAGCCGTGAGAAAACAGATTAACCCCCCCCTCTCCTCCCTCTTAAGCAGCGGCAGCAGTGTCTTTACCTTCGGTTCTGGTACCAGGTCTTGACCTGTGTGTCGGTGAGGTTGAGCGAGGCCGCGAGCTCCATGCGGTCCTGCACGCTCAGGTATTTCTGCCTCTCGAAGCTGCGCTCCAGCTGCCCGAGCTGGTGGTCCGTGAAGGCCGTCCGGGCCTTCCGGGGCTTCTTCATCCGGGCCTGAGAGCTGTCTCTGCTGCTGGAGATCTCCCTGTCCCCCTCCTCCTTCACTGGAGGACACAAACCGTGCCAAGAAAAAGAGACAAAAAGAGGAGAAGAAGGTGAAAACAGAGCCAAGGCCTCATACTGCGCAATGTAACAATACATCCATCTTAATGTGACCGTGATACCGACATGCACGAAAGGCGTGAAGAAATCTGTGCAGACAGACACATGTCAGTGTCAACGAGAAATAGATACAAAAAAATGTCCGTTTCTGACCCTGTACATGTCTATTAGTGTTAAGCTGTTAATTTAGATCAGGGATTTGATTCAGGAGAAAATAAAATAGATAAACTACTTTGATCGAGACAAAACTTGATGAACTGATTGATTTTTAAATAGATTTTTTTAAATGAAATATATAAACAGCTCATTCATTTATACTTATTATTCATTTGGTTGCTTGATTAGCTATATTTAATTATACTACTAGCCTATACTAATACTAATAATAATAATAAACAATACTCTTCCCTCTTTTTCAAAAGACGTGATAAAGCCTTTGGAATTATAAAAAGCTTAATTTGTTTTTAAATAAAAATGGTATTAGGTTTTACGTGAGTGAATGAAAAAGATGGGAAACCATATAAATGAAATGTTACTTTGGAAAAAGTCAATGTGTTTGAACCCCAACCCCAAATTAGATCAATGCTAATCTTAAAAATAGGGAAACAATTATCAAACAATAATTGTAAAATTATATATATATATTTTACTTGAGATTTGAACCGGCATGCTGCTCAGTTGAGAGGAATTGGAAGTTTTGACTGTGAAATCACGGCTCTGGAAACAGTGCCTATAGGCGATATGGAGCTATTTGATTTGTTCTTAAATTGTTATGAAAAGCTCTTCCAATATTCACACTTCCAATGTGATATTTTTCCCGTCAGCACAGCCTCAGTCTTTGTTCTTTCTGTGCGTGGTGTCATGTCAGGGCGAGCATTGATATACGGTCCTTATAGTCAATTCTCTGAAAGAAAAGAGAAGGGGGGAGGGGGGCGATGGAAGCGAGCGAGGCGAGAGATCTTCGTAGTTGAATAGTTGAATCGTCTCAAGAAGCACAATAATCCGCCTAATTGAGCCACAAGGGAAGGACGAAGTCTTTCAACCGCGACCGGAGGAACTTCACAGGACCGGGGAAATGAAATCAGGAGCAGGGCGGCCTCGCGCGGGAACAAATCTGATTAGCGCCGGGGACAAATTGCATCAAATCCCTGAAATATTATGGGAGGAAATCAAAGCCACCGTACAGGCGCTCTGTGGGCCCCGCGGCTCCCTCAATCAATCAGCGCGTCCATCAGCATCTCCATCCACTGTGACACGTGAACGCGAAGAGACACACGCACGCGCACTGGATTTATTGAGCGAATTATGGGTTTACAGAAAAAGTGAATTAGGAAGAAAACCACTGTGCGCCTTAAAAGCAAAACAAATGAAACTATAATATCGTTTTTGATATATTGATTTAATAATCCCCCTCATAGCTTACAGGCTTCTTTACAGGCTCTGCTTCATTAAACTGTCAATGGAGGTGACATGTGTGTTATGGCTGACATGATTGGAAACAGAGAGGCCCTTGATGGCATTTATCTGGAGGCGACCCTGTCATCTCTCCTCTTCTTCCTCGCTGACATCAACAGATGCTTTCTGGATATTCTGCTAATGCCATGCTGGAAACCCATGCATGCAGACAAGCAGCCGCAGATTTCAAATGTAACAGAACTTAATGATAATGAACTCCTGGCTGTCACCGAGCAGAGACAAATCTCATGTTTCCACCACCGTGATGCAGCAGAAGAAAATCGGGTCGATGTTTCCCTCACTGATGGCTTCCTGTGTCCTGCTAATAATCCTTTTAGTTTATTTTCACATGTGCCAGTTTTTCACTTTTCTTCTTAAAATAATTTAAGGCAAAATTAAAATAATGATTTGTATACTCTGAATCTTTATATTATTATCATGAGATAAATAATCTGTAAATATGCCTTAAATATATGTTAAATTATCTTATTTATTTATGATTTCAAATTGTGTCTCATCTTTTTGCTCAGCTTAATGCTTATAATATATTTTGAGTATCAGTTTGGCTTTCATTACAATTAAATAAATTGTTTTCCAACTTCCCAACTCTTTTTTTTTTTTAAGATGCACCCCTAATTTAGTATCACAATTCTTTATGACTTTTTTATTTTGATGCACATAAACACTATTTATTGAGGCTGATTGGGAAATTAAAATCTATATTTTAGGATGGACAAAAACAGTAGGACCATACAGGCTGCAGCTGATCAAAAAATGAAGGTACAAATATAATTTTTAAGAGGATATATTTTCTACAGGACTCCTGTGTGAAAGCATAAACCAGTTTCACCCACAATCTGATATCCAAAGCAGAGCATCTCTTATCACACGTTTCTGTCCTTACCTTTATATTCACTGTCGGACGAAGAGTTGCTGTGGATTTTCTCCATAAAGTCTTCTGCTATCTTTGCGGCCAGCCTGCCCACCTCCTGAGTCGGCAGTCCATTGCTGGAGTACGGTGCGCACGCGGCCAGAGGCTTACAGTCCGCGAGAATATCTCTGATGAGGAATGAGGAGGTCACGCTCCTCTGCTGCGAGCCTGCCGATATCTGCGCGTGCTGCAGATGCGGAGGAAGGCCGATGCCGTGACCCTGCCTCTGGGCCACCTCATCCCCGCACTCCCTCCTCGGCGACGGAGGCGACGAGCAGCCGCTCTCCACGTCTGATCTCGGGCTGAACTCCAGAGGCGAGCGGCACTCCCCCACCAGGCTGTCCCCCTTGGACACCGGACTTCCAGGCCTGTGTGACAGCAGCGAGTCGATGCCAAAACTGGACCCGTTGGCGGACGTCTCCATTGTCTCGATCGAGGCCTCCTCAAACTACCATTTGGTATTCAGGACAAGTTTTATCTTTGAGAGGCAGGGTGTGTTGTTTAAGTTGATCCAGTAGAAGAGAAAAAAACCCTCTCCCCGTACCCAGAACAATGTTTTTGCTACAAATGAAAACTAGTCATCCAATTTCCCCACTGGTTCTTTAAAGAGCAAATATCTCCAGGCTAAGTGCGTTACAACAATCGTCCATGCATCCGAATTTCTTTTTGTTAAGTATAGAAAGATGAGTCCTCTTGAAATCGATGCAGCCGGTATTGAGAGAGTCACAGTCGATTCTTCTTGCTTCCTTCAGGACCACCTCCGTCTGTTCTGAGTTCAGAAGCCTCGTCAGTTATTGCTGAAAGTATCTCACCCGCAGGGCACGAAAAGATGCAGAAAATAGGACTGGTTCTGGATGTATTTGGAGCAGCAGTGCACCGGGAAGAAAAGCGTTTCAGCACCATGGACAGGTACCGGCGAGTCAGACCTGAGAGAGGACCGTAGCAAAAATGTTCAGCTCTTCGTGAACACACGCGAAAACTGTTCGCATTCCTTTTTAAGAACAACAAAACCTTTTTAAAAAAAAACACGAAGTAGAGTGCGGAGTCCGAGCGAGAGCTGCAGCAGGAGAGGAGGAAGGAGCGAGACGACGCGATGCTCGCTGCAGAATCTCAAAAAGGAGAGGTAAACTGGGTTAAATAGTCACAACTGGCAAGTAAAAGGACGAGAAGTGACGGGGTGGGAGGGAATCCCAAAAAATTGAACTTGAGGAAAAGTCAGGAGCTAGGTTTTAAGAGCGCCTCGTCCACGTGAGTCCCCTGTGACAAGCCTTCATTGGCTGAGGGGAGCTGCAAGTGGACCTCCCTACACGCCCACTCTCCCTCCCTCCCTCCTTCGCTCCCATCCTTCCTGGCTCATCCTCACTTTGATAAAAGACACACTGAATTCATCAGGAGACTCAGATCCAACTGTTTACAGGCAATTTTCACACTGTTTGCTTTCATTACATCATTGATGAGGCTTATAATGGGGTTATTATGTGCAGAGGCTCGGTGTTTTCCCTCTCGACTCGCTTTTCTTTCACCGGATTTGTTTCACACCTACACACCTTCCTTTTTTTTTTTTACTTTTTGTTCAGCATTTTGCGTTTTATTGTCATCACTAATTTAAGTTTTTAAATGTATTTATCGGTTTGTAAGATAAAACATTGTTATGCTGCAGATTTTTTTTTGTGAAATTAATTGACAGAAATGACTCGAGCATATTATTTATTCTAATAAATATTATTATCTTTGATATTATTTTAAAATGATACAATTACAATTATCATTACCCTTCCTCGTGATTATATTGTTTAAATAAGTTTAACCTGCGAGGGGCCTCTATTTATTTATTTTGTATCATAGCAAAACCATTTTCTCATTTATCTCTGGAGTTTTCTTACTTTTGACTTATTTGAAAATCCCCTGACAGTTTGCACAACCATGCCATGTGAAAACATTTTAAAGTTGCCCTTTTTAAATACTACAATAAGTGGATATAAAGATTTTTTTATACGAAAAATGCCTCGTCGTTGGTCATTTTAGAGCCTCATAATGATCTAATAGTCTGGTAATTATTTACAAAGGTCTGAGCAGCGTGACTCACAACTTGAAGACGCGTGAAGCGCCATTGTTCACACTTTGCACCTTTTTAACATGCGTAAAAAAATCCCATTGTGTGCACTTTTAGCTCCACTATGCACAACAGTTTGCCCCGCGCGACGGCCCCGACAGCCCCTAATAATCTAACTAACCCCCCTCTCATCATCATCAACACCCCCGCGCCCCCCCTCCGCCTCCACCCCATGTGACCACCAGATTGGAGGCGCGCGTCGGTCTCAGACACCGGCAGGTTAGTGAATCCGCTCCCGTCTCCCATGGGGTCCCATCACGGCTGCAAGCTGTCACATATGAGGCGGGGACAACACAGATATAAGGCAGCACACACCCACCCTGACTTAGCTGTTTCTTTCTCCTCTGCTGGGGCATGAAAAGCAGCAGTGGTTGGTTGGATGCTTTCTCTCTCTGTCCTCTTCTCTTTATCCTCACTGTGCAGCATGTCCACAGTGTAAATAAATCATAAGGTGATTAAATCGACTTCTTCCTCTTTGTCATCACCTCCTACAGAACTTATAGAGAAGATTACATTATTTTGATTTGTTTTCTTAAAAGACCCCTACAAAATTAGATTTGAATTTGAACTCTTTTATAATAAAAACAGCTTTTGAGTTTCTTTATTTTACCCATTTTTATATCAAAGTAAAATAAAGTTGGGAAATTGAGATGACATGCGTTTCATCTTTGTTTACTTTCGAGTGGGTACAAATAAACTTAACATTTTGCCATAACGTGCATCATTATTTGACATTATAAAGACAAAGACTGGAACCAATGATTGTAATTATAAATTATTTAATTCTATATGTATTCAGTATTTACTTAGGCTTTAAAAAGTACAAAAAGTGAACAATTTTTTTTATTTATAACTTATTTTGTCCGACCATCAGTCAAGAATCAACATATACAAACAAATCAATTTGCAACAATTTATAACAATAAAAGCAGCAGGAAATACTGAAATGGGAAAAACACATTTGATGGCGTGAACCAATTATCTTTTAAATGTTTAGCTCAGTTGTTAAAAATTGGACAAAACAAATAATTGCATTAGCACCAATATGGACTAATATATTGCTTATATAAGGGCAGGTGTATTAAACATTATTGTTGTGCAACTAAATATAATTATACTGTCTGGTATGTAAATAAATCCTGTGTGTGTGTTTGGCTCACGGTGCTGCTGGTTTTGGTGAAGTGTCCCTCTGGTCAAGGAAAGGTCGATATTGTACTTTTTCTTCTCTTTTAGGAAGTGGTTAGAATTTGAGGGCCACTGCAACTGTTATTATAACACACACACACACTTTCTCCCACACACACACACTGATGTTATTGATTGGTGTTAAAGAGAGGAAACAGAAAAGGAGGTGGTGGTCAGTGAATGGTGAATTGTTTTCCGTCTCTTCACCTCTCTCCATCTGTTTTTATCACATTACAAAATCATCCTTTTTATTGATGCGCATTAAACAGCCCCCCACATTCCACTCACTTTCTTTTTACCAAAACAAAGTTGGCACCTTTGGGCCTTTTCAGTGAAGTGCAGACTATTGTTTCAGCTGGGCTGACACTTCATGTAATACCATGTGTTTAAGACCATATGATATTCATAATTTATTTTGATCAGACCATTACTTTTTTATTATAATATCAACAATTTAAAGCCTACAACTACATTACCTGGCGCCAGGTGTATTTTCATCATAATAGATGACTGGCCTGTCAGTCTTAATAATCCATGTGCTGCTTTATTTAGTTTGTCTTCTTTTCTCTGCATTATTGGAATTCTGTTCATAAGACTTGCTAATAATGCCTGCTGGGCTTACTGGGCTTTTGCAGGGGGAGAAAAAAGAGAAAACATTGTACTACATTTTATTTCTCTGCTCAATTGAGCTGGTGTGTTAAATATATATCTAGATATGTGTTGTAAAAACGTGTGTCCCCTTTGAATAAACTTTGGCATCTCTATCGCTTTGGAACACGGAGTAAAGCGTGTCTTTCGAGGGGGATATATGTAAAAAGATGACTTCTCTCAACAAACAAACAGCATTAAAAAAAAGGCTGAGGGGAGAAAAAAAAGAAAAGAAAAAGGCGCTTGCTCTGGAGCTGGAGCTGCACCCTGGACCAGTCAGGGATGCAAATGATGCACCTTAACGCCATCAGGTACCGGAGTTGACAGAAAATAATGAGAACCCGCTGAATCTTTTATAAGGTTAACACTCACATTTCCCAGTCAGCTGTCACACAAGAAAGAATTTAGCACATGCATGCGGGCGAAATAAACCTTCATCGTCTCATTAATGCTGACAGGGCCCTGGACCGGCAGCTCCCAGCGCCAGCGCCGCCACCACCTTCGTTTTGTGTCGGTAATTTGCAGCGGAGACAGACCCCCTTCTCCTGGAGAGAAAGAGGGAAGGAGGAGGAGGGAGATATTAAGGAGGAGAGCAAGAGTTAGATGGAAAGAGGGGAATGGTAGAGCATCGTGGAGCGAGTGCAGAGGAAAAAAGGCAGGGAAGGTGGGCCTGGGGGGGGGGGGGGGGGGAGGTGGAAAGATGGCTAGCGCGCCAGGAGTCTGATTCTCTCCTAATTGGAAGCATTGGGCATTGTCAACGGAGGATTTTCAGCTGCTCGCTGACAGGTAGAGCCGTCAGAATGATAGCCCACTTGTCAGCGCAAAAGACCAATAAAAACAAACCACTTTTGATTTAATTGGAGGCCTAACCATGGTGTGTGTGTGTGTGAGGTAGAAAGTGTGTGTGTTGCCTGCGGGGCCAGGGGGAGGTTGGGGGAATGAGTGGGGGCATTTGTGTCTGTGTGTGTGAAGGAAATCATCCCTCCAGCCATCAATGTGCTCTCACTGCCTCCTTCTTTGCCATCAGCGGAGACGAGCGCTCTCATGTGGCAGCTCTTTGGGGGCCACTGGTCACCGCCCCCCGCGGTGAGGGGGTTTCAAGGGGGACGGGTTTTTGATTCTGTCCCAGGAGGGCTTCCTGAGCGGCAACATCAGAGCAGAGAACACTTTCTCCACTCTTCTTCATCTTTCCCCCTTTCAAAAACAGGATGAGCAATTGTTTGACATTTTCTTCTTCTCCTCTGTCGACTGAGACCAGAGGAAACAATGAATCCTAAACTTTTTCTGTCCATGAGAGCAAATGTCACAATGAGAGCGGGCTGTATTCTATATATCTAGCCGGCTGCTTTGTCACCTGGTGGTTATTAAAGATCTGCTGAATGTGGGCGAATATGAAAATAATTGATGCTAAAGTGCAAATGGAGTATAAGGCAAAATACAAAAAGCCGGTTTGTGTTCAGTCTGAGTCTGAATTCAGCTTTCTTATTCTTTCCTGAATGTGTAGGCTCTGTTTTTTGGTTTGACCTGGTCAGGGAAGCAGTTATTGATAAGGGTCTTTCCATGAGAACAGAAATATGTGTTTCTAAAACTCAAGGCAGAATTAGTTTGAACTTGACAGGCCTGGATCGAGCGCTGACCTCAACACTATTCAACACACTTGGTATGAACTGGAACACCATCATTCTGGTTTCCATGTTTTTCAATATTGATCTTATTCTTTGGTCTCTACAAGGCCTCATTGGTCAACGATCAGCTTAACAAGTGTGAATATGTCCCTTTTCACGGTTTCCCTGGTGGACACTGAAGCAGCATCTTGGAATTGCAATTTCATGGTCAAACAAAAGTCCCTTTCACTCGTGAAGTCCGTCCCTGAAGTGTTTAGGAACATTTCCTGCATTGGGTCGTGTGAATAGGAACAGGGATCTTTCTCTTTTGGGAACTCTCTAATTTCTAATTCCTTAAGACCTAGTCACATTTCAGTGACATGCTGGTACACCTGTTTCGAATGAAAATAATACAATTCCTGGGACAATATTGTAAAGGCTTGCATCTGTCTGACAAGAAAAGAGCTTTCACATTGAACAAGCCAACAAATCAATCGATGTTGCTGAAGACATATTTGAATCAGTGACTTGCTTCGTCATTCATGCCAATGCTTTCTCTGGGAATTTCACTAGTCCAACAAA